CGATATAGAAAAAATATACTTAGGTCATACCAAAAGTTTGTTGAGTGATACTTTAATACCTTATCATAAACTTTAAGTAACTTTCTTTCTATATACTCCGATAAAGAAAAAGAAGCTCTATCTTTCTATGCTATTTGATCGTACTTCAACTAATGTAATAATAATAAGTTATCTATAAAACCTATTTTGGCTGATCCTGTGCTGGTTGTACTAGATCATATTTTATTTTTCAATATGCACATATGTATACGTATATCCAAGATGATCAGTACTCAATATTAATAGATTCTTCACCATCAGATTGGTTGTTAGAAAAATTTATATAGAAAACTCATTCTTTAATACAAGAATTTTGGGCTTTTCGTCTAGAGAAAGTTTCAACTCGTCACGTGACGAGTTGAACAAACATAAAAAATCAGACCTTTCGTAACACCAAAAATAGGGATATCCAAAAATACAGGGATGTCGTAACAAAATTTACAGGGCGATCGTAACGATTAACACAGGAAATTCGTAACAGTTGCAGGGCCTTCGCAACGAAGCAACAGGGCTTTCGTAATGAGGATAAGGGTGATAGCTGGACTTAGTTTCCAGAAATTACATGCTTTTCGTTACGAAAGCCCTGTAATGGTACATATCAAAACATGCATTACGATCGCCCTGTAAAATTTGTTACGAAACTCCTGATTTTTTGTTACGAAAGCCCTGATTCTGTCGTTGCGAAAGCTCTGTTACGGGCTTTCGTATTGTCAATTCGTTACGAAAGCCAGAAAACAAAAATCGTGACGAGTTGAAATTTTCCCTTCGTCTACAATAGATTTTCACAGATATTAGTTAACAGTACGTCATACGGTGAGTAGGAAACATCGTCTAGGTCTAATTTCATAATCATATTTTTAAAATTTATTTTGCTATTTGGAAAATGCGTTTTATATAAACAAAATTAGTTTAATGAGGACAGTTGTTTTGCTGATAGTATTACATTTAATATTGAAAATAGAAAAATGCTTTCCGTTTTAACAGTATAGTTTTTTCTCCTATATTGTTCAACGTTTAAAAACAAGTATTTGAACTATAATTTGAAACAGTTTCAACATTTGAAAGCATGAAAATCTTGTGCAAAGTTTGGTTAAACTGCAACTGTTCTAAATTTACTTTAACAAAAGATTAACTATAAATTAACAAAAGGTTTTTTTTAAATTTTATAATTCATTCGATGAATATTCATGAGTTCAGTAATGAATCAATTGAGATAAATGATAATTGAAAAAATATTTTTCTTGAGAGTATGTATTGATACAACATCGATTTATCAGAAAAAAACTGCTCCATGTTGTATGAATCTATTTCCTTAGTTGAAGAGCAAGTACAACAGACATTCCAGTCTAACTAAAAGTACATAATAACAATGAAATTTAAATTATTCTCTGAAATACGAGACACGTCTGTTTCCATTTCAAATTTTCTAACATAAGTCATAAACGTTAGTGTAATTACTTCAATATAGTATATTGCTTCTTTTTTATATTTCTTTTCTTTATTTTTATGTTGGTATAGCATGCGCTGAATTTCTTACAGTAATTTTTGTCAATTCTTTTTAAGACATATCCTATTTTCAATTGTTATTGATATTCATGAGTATGGGGATGTGCATTGTTCATTACTTTATGTAAACCCAAAACTACTTCATCTATATTCTCCTGTTAGTTTAGGTAACATATGTATTAAACATTTCATATAATCAATATCTGAACATGCTGAATAGATATCAAGAGATATAAAACATTTTTGATGTTTTAGCATAATCGCTAAAAGAACCTAACTAGAAAGATTTCAAAAATATAAATTTCTAATTATAAAGTAAGAAAAATTATTTTCAATCATTTTGACTACTTTTTGTTCCGAAAAAAGTTCTTTTATATCTGTCTTTCACATGATTAAATTTTTTTGTATTAAAGCTTAAATGGAGGAACGAATGACGAACAAAACTGGATCTCATGGTATTGTTCTACTCGGGATAACAATGTTGTTTTTTACCCTTCATTCAACGATTAAAAACATTCTCTCATCAGAAACAGAAACAGGAAGGAAAAAAGTAAAATATGCATATATATTTTCTAGACGGAAATTTTTGTTAAATTACCAACTTGGAAAAAATAAGGGTCTGAAGCGTAACTGACTGCTTATTCCTTTATGCCTGTTTACAAGCATTTTAGAGTATAAATGGGTGTTAGTGCTGCTGTAAACACAAGTTAAACAAAAATTAATAATTATATTCACACCAATATTCTGTAGATCTCGCTCACATCAATACAAGGAATACTTGAGTCTTTCGAACCTGCTATAAACATTCTTGAAAAATTACATAACTAAACTGATGATTGGTAAAAGAATTAGAATTGTAAGTTCTATGGATCCCCAATACGGGCCATATAGGCATAAGTTGAAAACTTTCCATATCCATTACTTATATCAGGAATCAAAAAGTAAAAAGACAGAAATCTGCGACAGCCTATTTCTTGGTCCAATTCAACATTTTTGTAGTAAAAATTCAAAACATATTATAATGAATCGAATGGAACAAGGGATACCCCGTTAGAAAATTATAATACATGTAATGAATCCATACGATCTATACTATGCATTTATGGAAACCAGATGGTATCGTTATGCAAGAGAAAAACATCGTTGAGAAGAATTTCTAAATAAAAAAGTTTCCTGTAATAAAAAAGACAAAAAGAAAAAGTGGGTGTAACACATTTAAATAATAGAAAGGATATATATATAAAGAAAAATTAAATACTAAAATGATTCAACTTAGAAAACACAAAGAGTAATCATTTTGTAATAATACTGAAAAGTTACAGTCAATAAACAGAGTTGAAATAACTAAAACAGTAAGTACCTTATGAATGTTTAGTAATGTTGCTACCAAACATTATTTCTGGAAAATATTTTTACATACATTCACTAGATTTGATATGATTAATACTCTGCTAAGAAAAGAACTATTCAATCGACTGAATCGTTGATTTTTCTAAGTCACATCCTTAGCACATCCAATCAGGATCTTCGCAAAGTTGAAGTTTTATTTTTCTGATGGAACATTTTAATCTTAAGAGAAGTGTATAGTCAGGGTTTTTCAGTGCTCTAGCAGGATGTGAAATAGTATTATATTAGGATCCTGAGCAGATTTCTTTTGTTGTTGAATGTATAATGATTTAAGAAGTAAGAAATGATTATCAAAAACAGTTCTACTAATATTAAATCACAAGCACGGTCATGCTAAATTCTCTTGTTGTATTTGTGCTAAGATCCTCATCAGTTCTAGCTGCAATAGTTGATTGATCTTTGTACCAAGACTAGTATCAGATTTAGACTAAGGACACAATCGGTAAGTAGTATGCATTTATTTCAATCGCAACAATCAGCGATAATGTGGAAACTTTCAGTTTCTGTCTTAAAAATTAATCTTTTTTTACATATTTCATAGGTTAATAGAGTCATTATTCATTCAGAAGTGTATTGCATTTGACGTATCAATCTCACGACTATCGATGTTTCAATCAACAAGGGTTCGAAATCAGGTAGATAAGAGTTATCTTCTGATTCACATCAATAAGAAACTGAAACTATCATTAACAGATTCATCAAAAAATTTTTCCAAACCAATCTAATAGTAGTCTTTCGACAATATCAACACCACAGTGTGTTGAATATTTACCTCTATTCTAATTTTAATAACATTTAGTAGGAAGAAAAAAAGAAAAAAGGTTGCAGTAAAAGTTTTGACTGGTGTTATCGCGATAGTTGTAGTCATAGTTCAAGTGATAACGTTGTTGGCAGTTCATGGTATAGGTCGGTTTTCAAAAGAAACATCTGTAAACAAAACAACAACAACAACAACAACAACAAAAACAGTACTAAAGACTACTACTATTACTAAAACATCAATATCAACTGAGAATTATTCAAATACTACAATCCCAACAATATCGACTACAAAAGGCAACATAAGTAAGCGCAATAAGAGGCTTTTTATAGCAAGAAAAGGAAACCAAGAAAGCAACTAACTACTAGCTCTTTAATTAGAGCCAACGTGCTAATATTCAATTCAGAAGCAATCTAATGTCAGTATATCGAGATCGTTTTATAACGGAGACAATATGTAAATCGGTATTTTTCATTTTTTTTACAGAGAAAGGAAGAAATCATGTTCGACTGTAATCAGTACAGGTTTTTAAAGGAAGGTTCTTAAGGAATGGGAACAACGTTGCCAATAAGCACAATATGATATGGTACTACAGATATCGAGAACTTAAATTTTAGAAGATTACTAGAATGATTATTTCTGAATCTGTAAATTACTCAATTCTAGTACTCTTAGATTTATTAACACATGTGTTGAAAATAATTATTTTTTCTAAGTTTAATTTCTAAATTCAATATGAACATTGTCTTACCTGCATTGTCTTTTTTCGGAGAATACGATACTGTGTAATTATCGATTTCTATCGCATTCAAATTGATATGAATACGAGTTATTACAGAAACTGAACGACAGAAAACGGTATAGGAACATCCGACCAGATTGACCAATTCCATGTATATATATATTGATAGTTTTCTATAAACCAAATTTAAGGTCTAGGGAGAATTTTGTGAGAATTAAGCGAAGAATGCCTATATATGAAGCGTGTGAATCAAGAAAGCTTTGAGTTTTATTAATTTTTCTCAACTCTACATTATTCTAACCTCTAATGATTTTAGAAAAATTGCTTGTAGGCTTTCCCGATAAAGAACAGGACAGCAATTATTTTGAAATTTCTTTTAAGAAAAACATCACGGCTTGTTCTAGAATACTCATATGAATGAAATCTTTTATACATAAGTAGGCACTTTTGAAACCAATGTACTATTTATAAACAGGTACCTGCCAGCATGAATTTGCTGCTCAATCGACTTATTCAACTGCTGCTGGGCCATATGGCTTGTATGTGATGGATGTCAATGCTGACAATAAGCCAGATATTATTGTGACAAATAGAAACAATGCTAGTGTGGGTGTCTTATTGAATATTGGCGATGGAAGATTCGCTACTCAAACAACCTATGCAACAGGTGACAATCCATTCTCTGTAGCAGTCACTGATATCAATTCAGACACTAAGCCCGATATTATTATAGCGAATTTCGAAAGCAGCAATCTTGGTATCTTACTTAACCTTGGTGATGGCACATTTAGCCGTCAAACAACTATTGCACTGAATAGTATGCCAATATCTGTGGCAGCCGCCGATATTAATACTGACAATAAACCGGATATTATAGTGGGGCTTCCCAGCAGCAACACTATCGGTGTACTTTTGAACATGGGTGGTGGAACATTTAGTACGAAAATGGACTACGCAACAGGTTCATACCCTAGACCTTTAGCTGTAGCTGATGTTAATGGAGACTATAGACCAGACATTGTAGTGGGCAACTTTCAAAGCAATAACGTTGGTGTATTTTTGAGTGTAGGTAATGGCGTATTTAGCCAACAAACGACCTATGCAACTGGTAATGGCCCAGTATCTGTGGCTATCGTCGATTTTAATGCAGATGAAAAAGCAGACATTGTCGTTGCCAATTTCTATAACGATACTGTCAGTGTATTGTTGAATATGGGTAGCGGAACATTTGGAATCCACACTACCTACACAACTGATCCTGCTCCTAACTCTGTGGCTATCGCAGATGTTAATAATGACAATAAACCAGATATTATTGCGGCCTGCATGGGTACTAATAGAGTCAGTATTCTATTAAATATGGGAAGTGGCACATTTGGTACAAGAACAACATATCCAACAGGACATCTCCTTGTATCTGTAGCCGTTGTAGATGTTAATGCCGATAATAAGCCTGATATAATAGTTAATAATCAACTTGACAATTGTGTTGGAGTTATGTTGGCAATGTGTGTGTAACGATGATATTACTCTGTATTTTTCATTTACTGAATGCACCAAATTAATTATAATCATTAATCTAGATACTAAAGGATTTTATGCAAGAATTTGTGGCTTTTTAAAATGATCACTACTCTCTAAAAAAAAAGGAGTTTTACAAAACCTTTTTGTGGGTTCTGCCATCGGGTACTATACAGAACCCTCAAAATGGTTCTGAATAAAAGTGGGTTCTATGAATAACTAATGGAACTATTAATAATTCCTCACAAAAAATGGCTCAGTGTAGAAGAGGTTCAGTAAAAATTCAGATAGAATCATTTATAATTCCTTATTAAAATGGTTCCTTCTGTAGCAAAGAATACTACATTCAAAAGGTTTTCTCATAAAACCTTTCCTACTGTGCAGTAATAGGTTCTACATCTCAACAGAAGTTCATTCTTTAGAAGCCATAGTTTCTTACTGTTAAAAGCGGTAGCTTCAGAAATACTGAGTCAGTTTCCAAATCTACCTAAGTCTCAAAAGAAAAAAACTAATCTTTCCATTTGAACCATAATTCATTCTTCATTTGCCATGACGACCAACCTAAGATAAAAAAGAAAAAATATTATTCGATTTCTATTTAAAAGACCTAATTTACTACTGATATGATCTCCATATGAATTTAAATACAAAGAGAAAAATACTTAGCTTTTCATTTCAAATGTAATTCACTATTCATGTAATAGGAAGGCGAATCTAAGTACAAAAGAGAAAATGTTGTCTTGTTTCTATTTAATATATCTAACTTATCATTGATGTTATGTCAATATGGACCTAAAAATAAAGAGGAAAATATTTAGCATTTCTTTTAAAATGTGACTCACCACCGATGTACCATGAAGATGAACCTAAAAACAAACGAGAAAATGCTATCTGCTTTCTTTTTAAAATATCTAACTTACCATAGACGTGATCTCAATACGAACCTAAACAAAAATAGAAAAATATTCAGTTTTCTATTTAAAATAAAACTCACCACTAATGTACCATGAAGATGAACCTAAGTACAAAGGAGAAAATGTTATCTTTATTCTATTTAATATATTTAACTTACCATTGCCGTGATCTCAGTATGTGTCTAAACATAAAGAGAAAATTACTCGATTTTCCATTTGAAATATGACTCCCTGTCGATGTACCTGAACACGAATCTAAATACAAAAGAGAAAATATTATTTTTTTATATTAGAAATATTTAACTACCATTGATATGAGGGTGTGGGTGGGTGTGGGTGTGCATGTGGGTATGGGTATGGGTGTGGGTGTGCATGTGGGTGGGTGTGGGTGTGGGTGTGCATGTGGGTGTGATATAAGTGACCACTTAGATGCTATCCCAGAACACACCCACAAACCCACACCCACACCCACACCCACACCCACCCAAGTACAATCAAATAGCATAGAAAGAAAGAGCATTTTCCGTTCTATCATCCTATGTAAAAAGATTTTTTTATGAACCCTAAAATATGGTAATAAAATGTCGTTGCCATTACTTTTGGATATCCCTAAGTAGAAGAGGTAATAATTCTTTTTATAATCTATAAATCTTGAAAAGCCTATACTTTTATCGAGTTTAATTAAAAAATATCGTACAGATAATTTTTGCTGCCACTGTATGTTCGTCCTTTTATACATTTTATTTAAAATGACATGTTTCTAGACAGTAATCAAGTGAAACTTAATTAATATTAAAAATTTTTTTTTGGAGAATCTTTCTCTGCTATATTTTAAAATTTCTTAATAGAAATTGTCCAAATCTTCTATGCGCAAAGATAACAAAAAAAGAACTAAAACTTCAATAATTAAGAGAAAGATTAAAAAAAAGTTCTTGTTTTGTTTTTTGAATGTTCAATGTGCGAATGCAAATAAATTTTCCACTCGAGAAGGTCCGATGTCGACTTTTCGCAGGTGTCAACACAAATGATGTGCAATCTTCGTGTCTCAACTTGAAGCATTTATGTTATTGATCGTTGATACATCTGTGGCAGGTAACTATGATTTCTCCTTCATCCTCTTTATGATTGTATATTTACATAACAAGCATAAAATGCACAGTAGAATAATAAAAGAAAGAGAAAAATAGATTCTCACTAATGATTCATATTTCTTTTTCTTATAATAGAAAAAAAAAAGAAATTGATGTAAGTAATGCAGTTATTTCAATTCGAAAAAGAAATTATTTGTTGTGTAAATAAATGGAAAAAGTACTATAGATTTATTTCTTTTTTAAATGAAAATGAATATTCGACTGAAAATATTTTTTTCTAACCAAGAGTTAAAATTTGAATACTGTTCTTTGTTTTTTTTCGTCTCAGACAAAGAACTTATTCTTAGGCGATATCATATTATACTTTTTACCTAAAAATCTCTGTGCATAGAACTTAAAATTTTTCATGTAATACAGAAATGATCAAGGCAAATTTTTATTTTATTTGCCCAATTGTGACATGATTATAAGAAAACTTGTTTCTGCGGCAATTCAGAAAAAAGAAACAATCTGACCTTGATGAAGCAATGAAATGCATGTATATGAATTATTTAGTAGACAGATATGCAAAAATAATCTTCTAGAATAGGCAATCGACTTCATTAAACTATTTTTTTCAGTGAATTATCAAAAAACAATAAAAGATTTATAATATATTTACCAAAATCTCAGCTCGAAGAACTATAGTATAGGAAAAGACATTCCATTTCTTATTCTTAAATAAATAGCCAACAAGAAAGACTGAGATGTGAATGAAGAGAGGGAAGTAAAAAGACGATATGTATCGAAGGTAACTTATTCTGATTGTGTTTTCATTGATAAAGACAAGTAGTTAGTTCTGATCGAATTTTCATTATGATATTATTGAATAAAAACTCGTCAAATAACAAAAATATTCGATTGTTTGTTTTTCAATATTATTCAATATTAGAACAGATTATTTTTGGGCTCTCAAAAACATTGAGTGTATGCGTGTGTAGAGTATAGGTATAATTTATCCCTCTTCAATCGCCTTTATTCTACATCTCATCCTAAAGAAAATGAATGAAACCTTTAACAAAATCCATTTTGCCATTGAGAATAATCAAAAAAACTAAATAAAAATATAAAATAAAAATTGCATAATGAAAGTTGTAATATTAAATTATTAAGCTGGATATGATTAAATGAATATTGTAGAAATCTTTTAAAACTTTATATACAAATCTCAGTATATTTTTAGACATTCAAATGTTAATTAGTAAATTAATGATATTATTTCTAATATGTTGTATTTCTTTGTAAATTATCCAAATCTTATAATAAAGTAATAAAATCACAGTGACTTCTTTATTTGTTAAATGACATCTGTGATCAAGATTTAGCACTGATTAGATATGTTAAAAGATGCTTTACTATATATTTGTTTTTCTCTTCACTTGCGAGATGCCATCGTCATACTTTCATAACAAAAAAACGGTAGTCTTCCATATATTTTTGTCAACAAGCATCATTCGCAATTTACGAAAGTTGTCGTTGTCGGAAGAAAATTCTAAACAAGCAGATTTTTTTTTCTCGACGTGCACACGCATACCCACCGCGGCATCTGATTTTTTGTTAAAAGTAAAGAAACAGCATACTGTCGTTTACTTTCAGACAACTAAGACAAATTGAAAAGCAAACAACAGCTATTGCAGTACTTCTAAAGAAAAGTAAGAATCGATATATACCACAAAAAAATTAAAATATATTCCTATTCAAGTTCTACTACATTTGATTCTCTTCTTATCTTCTCTTTTATGAATCATATAATTAAACAAAGTTAAATGTCCCAAAGGCAGAAAATATATGGTAATAGATCGTTTCAATACTATTGCAATTTTTTTTTGTACGATACAAGTCATTTAGCAGTAAGACGTAGACGGCAAAGCCACGAAGGCTAGGTAGACACGAGCCTACCGTATGTTGGAGAGGTAAAGGCTTGGGTAGGCTCGAACTGGTACGTATAAAGTTTTGAATAGGTTCGATTGAGTGTATCAATTATCTCATATTAGTTAGTTTTCATGTTTCTCCCATAGATGACGTGTTATTTCAAGGCCAATGCACAGGTTATCTTTTACAAACTCGTATACAAATGAATGCTGATCTTTTTTCGTGAATATTAATATCTACGCTAAATTCTTTATTTTCAACATAAGATTATTTGACTTTTGTTATAAACTTCTGTTCAAAATAACTTCTAAACTTTAAGCTATAAAGAACAGTTCACTTTCGCACGCGGCGAAGCCATGAGACTTAAGCAGGGAGAATACATCCTATTCCGCGGTGTTGCACATTTCGGAATCAGTTCCATCCGATTCCGGATTTAACGGAATTACATCCAATTGCCGAATTCGATGCGATTCTGGAATGGAATTCTGGGAATCAGATTGAAGTGGAATTGGACGGAATCGAACGGAATTGCCACTAATTCCTAGCCATTCCATCGAATTCCTTTCGATTCCAGAATTAAGATGAGCAGTACCTAGGATCTCAGAATTGGCGATTCAAAGGAATTCAAGACATTAACGTCAACATTTAACTTTAATTTATACACTTTGAGAGTACCATGGAATTCAAGGAAATCAGGAAATTCAAGCAATTTAAACAATTCAAGGAAATTCACAGGAATTTCAGACATTCAATGTGCAACTGTGGGTGTCAGTGAGAGTGTTAGAATTCCTTTAGCTGTTTTGAATTGCTTGGTCTTCCTTACTTTCCTTGAATATCCATAATTCCATGGTCGATTACACCTCCTATCCTTCATTATCTGTTTGTTCATTGAATTCATTGAATTGCCTTGAATTGCTTGATTTTCTATAATTTTCTTGAATTTCCATAATTCGATGGTCGATTAGATCCATTATTGCTGATAACGTGTATGTAGCTAGAATTGCTTGAATTTCTGGAATTTCCAATTCTGAGATACCACCCATGGAGTAAAATATTCAAGGAAACGGACTGCGTAACGCGT